CCTAGAATAATAATAAGCATGTCATTATGCTTCCGCCTGCATTACATGTTGGAAGGGTTTTAGTTACAATCCGTCCGTCTCAAAGTGTCGTGTTTACAAGTACACTTCGTCGTTTCTGTGTTTTATTCTGATCAATTACGAAACCGGTGTGGGTTTTAAACTCGGCAATAACCGGCTTTGGTTAACAGACCCAACGGCCGACTGCACACACTCTACAAAACAACAAGCTTCACAAAGGGGCTTAGTTTTCACACGAAACTTTCAGACCGTGGAGTTATGAACTCTCACCTTTTTTTATATAATTCTCCAAACGATATGACAGCTTAACAGTTAAGAAAAAAAACAGTAAAATTTTATTTTAAAGCACCGTCGAACATCGAAATGTGTTACCGTTTCCAATTTTCACACAAGCAACACACAATCACGGTTACGCAATTTCCCTTCATAACATGGTTAACAAAACGTTCAAAAAACCTATTGTAATAAGAACAAATAATTAAACCATGTCTATATATAATTTATATTATGAGTAATTTGTATCTCCCGGTTTTACTTGTTTATTTCTTTCATGGTCAAAAGGAAATGGAATAATATGAATTATACAAACCTCAGCTTGGAATTTACAAGTTTTATAAATTATACCTCGTATAATTCAATTAGTCTCTCCATTAAGCCTTTTATAATTTTTGCATCGTTCGTAAATTAAATAAATCTTAATTGTGTATCATATATGGTTTGGACAGTTAATCAAGTTGTAATAAAAATTATTCCGAAGGATTTCCACTTATTTGATGAGCTATATAAATTTACCACAAATGTAATGAAGTACGTGATGTGTTGCTAATGAGGCAAGATGTTTGTTTACGAGGGTGGTTTCAATAGGAGAGGGAGTGTTTTCCTTGTGAAACATGTTCTAATTCTAGCCACTACTCTCTTCTCCCCGTTATCGGCCCTTTCCAGATTACTTCAACATTTTATCTTTTTCGATTATAACTTTCCCTTTTCTGCCGTGGCAGAAGTGTTGGTTTCGCCAGAAGAAAGCCCTTGGATCAGAATTTACGCCATTTTCAAACGCCTCTAGGCCGAAACGGCTTTTCCAATTAATAAAAGCAGATTATAAATTAGACGAAATATTGTGATCAAGGAGAGTTAGAAAATTATGAAAAATCATTTTGAACGATAATTAATATTGCTTTGTTAAGAGGGAGAAAATAAAACAATCAATTTTCCTATACTGTCTTCCATATATTTTAGATAAATATGTATAGTAATAATAAAACAATATATCAGAGCGTTTTTAAAATCATATTTCACGTTTTAATCAATCCGTTTAGGATCCGTATTGTTTTGAATGCTGTTTTCTTATGTTTATTATGGGCATTGTTAACGCCAATTAATTGTTGAATTTATTTAAAAGATCGCGTTTCGTTAATCCACACCTGTTTATTGTTTGGCTCAGTGAGTCGGCGTCGGCGGATTACGGCAGATAACAGTCAGTCGTCTTTCGTTCGTTGTTCCGTCGAAGTAATTTTTTTTTCGTTTTTGCAGCGTCACCATTTTTCCTCATCATCGTCATTAAAATTATCGCCATAATGTTCATCGTTGGATCGTCGTTTTATGAAGGAAGTGGTACCACTTTATTAAATATTTGGACTGTTTGCTACTCTTTTTTTTTTTAATATTTTATTTGGATACCAGGGACGGGAGGAGTTCCCTCCTGAGCACTGCAGCTGAGCTGTACAGCTTATTGTACTTTATCCCTGGCTCAATATTTTGGGGGAGGGCTCGCAACACAAATGTGAACTTGAGCCCCCGTTTTACCGGTGTTCTTCCATCGAAGAAACTCATTTTTGAAGGGGGTTGGGACCAAATTCAGGGTCACTGATATTCGATCCCGCCCCTTCCATTGATAAGTGCCGGGTCAATTTCTTTCAATTGCGGCCACCGGTCCCCTTAGGCGTCAGAAAAAGTCCAGAGGCGACGGTGGGGATCGAACCCACGACCGCGGGATCTTGCTACGTTATAATATCGATCGATCGTTAATTTAAGTTCACTTTAATTATACTTATTTTTGGATTCGGATTTTTTTTAAATTCATTCATTTTAAGTTTACAATAGTCTATTTTATTTATTTCATTCGAAGTTGGCAATTTATTTTTCTTAATTTACTTGAAGTTGAAATCTATTATTTATATTTTTTTTCTTTATTACTTAAAAAATATGTTTTTTAATCAAAGAAGATAGATTGATTTATATCTTTTTATTTTAAGTGTAATTTAATTGTTTTATTGATTTATTTTTAATGTGTTTTCCGTGAAGGTTTAGCCCGCCTTTACGTAGTCATATCGTAGTGAGAAAGATGATCGGCATTGATAGAAACGAGTTCGGAGGTTTGCTGGTCCGAAATGACCCGCCCCTCTCCACAACAGGTATAAAATAATAAAAAGTTAATAATAAGCTACAAAAATATAACTTACAATTCAATTAATTAATCTTTATGTAAAGTATTGGTTGAAATGAAAAAGTTAGTGTTATGAGCGGGATTGGAACCCACGCTTTCCGCTCAATACACCGCCTAACCACATGAGCTATCGTGACAACTTTTTCATTTCAACCAATACATTACACAAAGATAAATTAATTGAAAGAAGTTATTTGGCCAATCGGACCACGAATTATAATAGATATTACAATCTTTAATTTCCGGTAAACAGTACTTTAAATGCAATGTTTCTTACCGTAATACATAATTTCATGTGTAAATATTGATTTTCAATTCATTAAAAACATTTTAAGGTTCGTTTTCTGTGAGACTGTAAGTTAATTAGTTGTAAAACACGATTAACAAGACTAACTTCAAGGTTGAACTTTCAGTGGGAAGCCCTTCTTATCAAGTAAACTTGCCTATGTACTAACTCTATAATGAGCCAATTTACATAATTTACTAATCAATCTGAATGATATTTGTACAATTGTGAATCACAAATAAATGGAAATTGTTATTGTCGTGTCAATTATTTGGTAATCAATTGCACTTGCATTTAAAAAGTTAAATTATTATAACCAGAAAACTTAGTTATAAACGTCATTTTCCTTACGTAAGGAAAAATGCATTTTTAATTACCTATTATTGTCGTTTTGAGCATTTAATATGAAGCATTGATTTGCTTTCTTCTATTTTCGCTCCGTCTGCCCTGAAGTATTTTGGAATTCAGTATAGAAAGAATACAACCGATCATCCCAATCAATCCGTATAAAAAACATGCTGTCAATTAAAAATTGTTTAAAGAACATATAAATTTAAAGCAAATAAGAAGAAGAAAAGAATCGAAGAAGAAAAGAAAAAAATAAGGATTTCATTTAACAATAATTTTGGAGCTAAACGAAGCATCAACATATTTCGAGACATGACTAAATCTGTTCAAAACAAATCTCAATTTATGGTCATTAGTGACTGTTAATCGATAATTATTCAGAAATCGTGAGATGCGGTCTGGTGTGATGTTGGTTTCAGAAAAACATCTCTTTATCGTGCCAACGTTTCGATCATTATTGAGATCATCTTCAGGGCCTGGGATTTACAAACATTGTTTACATTTCAAAAATACATGTAGGATGTGGAAAAAAGTAAAAAGTGTCTTTTCTATACCGACTTCCTTCCCCACCCCTTCAAAATCCAACATATATAAACATAAAAAGCAATATCTCACTGGCACTCTCAACACGACACGCTAGAATGGCACAATTACACAGAAGAAACACTTTGAGTGAGTAGAAATACTTTGATTGAATATAAAAAAAATATATTTTGCATTGTATAAATTCACTTTTTTCCACATCCTACATGTATTTGTAATATATAAACAATGTTTGTAAATTCCAGGCCCTGAAGATGATCTCAATAAAGATCGAAACGTTGGCACGATAAAGAAAATATTTTTCTGAAACCTACATCACACCAGACCGCATCTCACGATTTCTAAATAAATAGCGATTAACGGTCACTAATCACCACACATTCAATCAAAGTATTTCTACTCAATAAAAGAGTTTGTCTTCTGTGTAATTGTGCCATTCTTGTGTGTCGTGTTGAGAGTGCCAGTGAGATTTTGCTGTTTTATGTTAAGTTGGATTTTGAAGGGGTGGGGAAGGAAGTCACCACACATAAAAAAATATATTTTGCATTGTATAAATTCACTTTTTTCCACATCCTACATGTATTTGTTAAATGTAAACAATGTTTGTAAATCCCAGGCCCTGAAGATGATCTCAATAAAGATCGAAACGTTGGCACGATAAAGAAAACGTTTTTCTGACACCTACATCACACCAGACCGCTTCTCACGATTTCTGAATAATAAATCTCAATATTCAGTATTCAAAATTTAATAGTTTTGAAATGGATCATTTGTTTTGGCTAATCCTAATTAGGATAAGCTCGTATTAGGGCAATAATACCACTTGTTCGAGATACAAGAGTGTTGAATGGAGACCTTACACAAACATTTACTTGATGAAAATTTAGTTAAGCATGCGACACGATATAGTAAATTTTACATCCACATATTATACCAATATATCATGAGGGATCTCTCCCTAACAGTTTTTACTGCTTATGTAATATTTCAGGCTTTATTTACGAAGTAATACACTGTTTAAACACGTTTAAATTATTCTAGCCTACTTTTTCCACTTGCTTTAGACATTTTTTATGAAGTTGGAATAAAGAAAAACTAATTTTCGTCCAATTATACATGTAGAATAAACTCATGTATGTTATCTTGCTTTATGTCTTATGCTATAAATAAAACAATAATTTTGTGTTTGTATAAAATGTTAGTGTCTTAAATTCTTGGTAGTGAGATAACACAATGTAAAACTTTTGCCCATATAGAAAATGAATGAGAACGTTACTGTTATACTATTTAAAGAACTACATATTATACTATTTATAATTTTATAATTGATCTGAGCTTACGGTGTTCATTTGTTTGTTTCAGATGTGAACGAGGCAGAAGAGTGAAATGGCAATGATCTTTCTTTTTGGATTAGTTCTGACGTCAGGATCAAGTAGAAGCCAAGATTTGACGTCAGATGATTATGATTATGCCAATATCACGTCGAACGATACGTCTCAGGGTGCTGGGCAAATTATGTTTTGGAACGAGACGAGTTTCAACGACACGGCCCTGCTCGACATCCCTCTCCAGAGCGAATCGCCCGGCTTTTGGGAAGCTTACGAATCGCAGAACGGCACCGTCCTGGAAAGCATCTCATTCCACCCCAACCCTGTGACCTACGGCCTCCTGGACGGAGAAACGGCCGTCACCCCGTATATGGGCGAGGAAGACGCCGTGTCGAAGCCGGTTGGAGATCTCTGGCCGGTGAAATTGGCGGCCGAAGTCCCAGGGGACTTGATCCTCGGGGGGCTGATGATGGTACACGAACGCGAGGACACGATAACGTGCGGGCCGGTCATGCCACAGGGCGGAATACAGGCTGTGGAAATTATGCTATATACCCTGGATATAATAAACGAAAGGCTAGGTCATTACACCCTCGGCGCACATATCCTCGACGACTGCGACAAAGACACCTACGGACTCGAAATGGCTGTCGACTTCATCAAAGGTAAGCTGAATTTTTATTTTGTTAAAACCTAGTTTCCTTCTTCTTTAAGTAAAAATGATGACATGCAAATTAGTAATATACTTGAAAATATTGGAAAGTTGATATGTATAGCGTAAAACTTAAGCGCAAAAAGCAGGAGGTTAAAGGACAATGGATTGATGACAAAACAATTCATTTTACATAACCTTCTTATGCTTCTAAACTTAATTAACTAAAATTAATTAACTTTTTCTTACCCATTAATCTTTAACAGAAAATATTAAGGAAGAATATTTTATTTTGATTAATGATGATTTTATATTGATTGAATGGATGATTTTCCCTTTGTATAGCTAAATTTGGTTTCACGATTTCTTTTATACACCGTTATTACCGAAAGGGTGAAGTGCCACTTTCTTCAAGATTATTTGGACTCGGCTCCACTGATAGCACAAAACGAATTTAGAGCATTTGCCAGCAATTTCTGGAACATTACCTTGTTTATACCGACGGTTCTATGCTGGACGACAAAACAGCCTGCCCTTTTTGACCCTCAAACTGGCAACAAGGTATGTTTTGATATCGATAATTTTCATATAAACGGGAAATACGAACATATTTTAGTGAATATGATTAAACAGGTTTACGCCTTGACCTTACAAGGAAAGGAAGTTACTTTGCATTGGGTAAAATGGCACATTGGAATCCCTGTTAACGAAAAAGTAGACAAACTGGTCAAAATTGCCACTACAGCTAGAGTCCCAACTGTTGGGTTTAAAATGACGTGCTTAGACATCCAAAGGATTCTTAAAAAGAAAATTCAACGGAAATAGGAGAAAGTTTATCGTTCCTCTTCAGTGGGTAATCTCTAATATTCCTTGTTTCCAAAAGTGCAGAAGAATAATGCCTTGTATGCTAACGGAGGTAGAAGCAAAGCATTCTATAGCAAATCAGCAAGTTGGGAGTAGGTTACCGCATTTGCGGTGCCTACCTTTTAAGAATAGATATACATACGATGTATGAGGGAATGCCCCCATTGGCTCCTAGATTGTCAGGAATTCGAAGAATATAAAACTGAATTTCTGCAAAAAGTAGATGGATATATGGCCTTGCAGAGGCCATATAATTCTGACACACTAACATCAGAACAGGAAACAAGTATACGCTGAGATAGTGGAGTTTTTAATAAATGCGGTCTAGACGTGTAAAGAAATCCATTAATATAGAAGATTTATAAATTATATATAACACATACATGGATAATGGAACTACCGACCTCCAAACAAAAAAAAAAGAAAGAAATTCTTTTAGGTCCGTTTTATTTTTATATACCTTTGCAAAAAAAAGATCCTTTTTGCATGTGAGTATTAAAAAATAAACAGTGTTTTAATTTGTTCTGATTTCATATATTGCTGTAAAAAGTATTTTAATTGGTTTAATGCATAAGCCCATTTTTTACAATATAGAATTATTTATTTTCTGATGAGTTTTTATCATTTCTCAAATTTATGTACTGATATAAGGTAAAATTATTGAATTCTTTTTACACATGCCCATATTTCATAATGATCAGTTGGGTTGGTAATTACTATATTTAATAACTAATTAAATACAAATTAAATAGAAAAAATAGCTATATTTCAAATCTGTATTTAAAGTTATTCAGATATCGTGAGATGCGGTCGGGTGTTATGTAGGTTTCAGAAAAACATTTTCTTTATCGCGCCAACATTTCGATCTTTTATTGAGATCATCTTCAGGGCTCAAAATGTTTGTCTTCTGTGTAATTATGCCATCCTTGCGTGTCGTGTTGAAAGTGCAGTTTAACACTTTGAGCCCTGAAGATGATCAATAAAAGATCGAAACGTTGGCACGATAAAGAAAATGTTTTTCTGAAACCTACACACACCCGACCGCATCTCACGATATCTGAATAACTATCGATTAACGGTTACTAATCTCTACACATTTCTGTATTTAAAATTAATTTTTGTAAACTCCCACCGTCGCCTCTAGAATTTGTTAAATTTCCTTTCCCGTAAAAACTAACATAATTATCAAGCAGCATCGTTCTATGGCTAATACGAAAAGTTAGGCAAAACTAGAAATTTGGGTGAGGAACGCACGAGTTTTCCTACGCTGTCGGGTCTGAGTTCGAATCACAGTATAACCCTCTGAAATTTAATTGGAGAAGTATTTGCTAAAATTAGTCTCAATCGCTTTAATCCACTGTCCGCTGAACTAAAGAACGCAACGCACCTGTTTATCCACTGAGAAATAGAAAGTACATTCTGGAACGGGTCGACCTTTGGCTGGAGAGTGGTCGCAACCTGAAAATGTTATCTTCATTTTATCGAACCGATGTCAGCGGACCTTTGGCTGCTTTATTTCCTGGTCAGCGGCCCTTTCTGTATGCTATACAAAATCGGGATCGATTCACGCACAACTCCTTCCCAATCTTCTGTGTTTTTGGATGCTCCTAAATATCCTGCCCCAAATCTTGGTTACAAAGGGGGTTTCTAGACACTATATAATGATGTGAAAGAAATGGCCAGCGGGTGGACGTTGGGCGCCCGATCGACTGATCGCATCACGGGTAGGTCAGTGAAGCAGAGCGTGCTGTACAGATGGGAGATGGATCATGAGTGACTGAACTACGGGGGCAAGCAAATTAGCTCTAAGCCCATAGCGTGCTATCGGATTTGGTTTCGTATTGGCTCGTTGGTGAGGGTACGTAAAGTTTAATGCTGTCGTCCAGGTGTTGCTGTTATCAGAAACATTTACCGAACGGCTGGCTCTCCTAGGGATGGTTAGCGTTCTTCTTAAAAAGAAAGCCATGGTTTTTCCTTGTGAAACACCAGACCGCATCTCACGATCTCCGAATAATCATCGACTAACGGTCACTAATCACCACACATTTAACATTTTTGTGAGTTGAATAAAAATGTATACTATTTCGTGTGCGCTTTATGTCGATGGAGATTTCGTATTCCCCTGGTTTTTAAAAAGCGTTTCAATTTTAAAAATAAATGTTCATCAACTGTTTCTATTTTATGAAATTTTGGGTTAAAATCGAATCGTTTTTCTTTGAAAAGTTTAGACGACATTCTTAAATGGCAAGTACTAAAATTACATTTTATTGGGCACAATCTCAGTAACGATTTGGGTAAAATTAAAACTCATTAACATTTAAGTTCGATTGTCGTGCTTAATTATAAAACTTGAGTAACTAACAAACGATGAATCTTCAGTACCCCCAAACTTTAAGTTGGTCGGCCTTCTGATCTGATTATTTCTTCCCGAGAAAAATCCCTCTTTTCAAAGAGGTTAAAATATTCTTCGCTAAAACCGCTCAATTATGTCAAAAAATTATACGGATTATCCAACATCGAACAAAGTAATATTACGTTCATTATTGCATGATATGTTCTATACATATGTATGAAGTGAAAATAATACAGATAAGAAGTTTCGGTTAAAAATAAACAAAAATGTAAATAAAAAGTGTATTAATGAAAATACATGTAAGTATGAAAAGCTAGCATATTATTCATTTATTTGGTAAAGAGTTAAATAATTTGATTACAAATTAAAATAGCATGTCATATTTTTGTAATGAGTTAGCATAATTTTTTAATTATTCAGAAATCGTGAGATGCGGTCTGGTGTGATGTAGGTTTCAGAAAAACATTTTCTTTATCGTGCCAACGTTTCGAACTTTATTGAGATCATCTTCAGGCCTCAAAGTGTTTGTCTTCCGTGTAATTGTGCCATTCTTGCGCATCGTGTTGAGAGGGCATCTCACGATTTCTGAATAATTATCGATTAACGGTCACTAATCACCACTAATTTTTTAAGCATAAAATTTATAGTATTCTTGTGAAAATAGCCTGAAGAATTAAACATAACAACTGAATATAAGAAGATTCAGATTTAAATGTAAAATGGATGACAGAAAGATTATGTCTACTTCCTGACGTGCTGTAAAGAAGGGGATCAGAAAATGGGAAATTAGAAAGGCCAGGATCGATTGAATCACTTTGACTTTACATTCTTTCTCCTTTTTGAATTCACTGTTTCAATCACAACCCGTATGAATTTTAATAAAATATTTTTCCTTTTCTCCGCTGTCCGGAAATGTTTCAATTAGAATGACAAATCCTGAACTTGTTGGCAATTAATAATGGAAATTTTTGAAGATCTTAGTAAACTGATCTGTAAAAGTCATTTAGCCGTCTTCTACATTTCTAATATGCCTCTTGAATAATAAGTTATATTAAAAGTATTTCGAACTCCTAAGTTTCGGCGGGGGTGGAATTAAAGTTTATAAAGCATAATTTATGCTGCAGTATGCAAATTTTAGAAATGGCCCTGACGTAATATAATTTGCCCTTTAGGTGGATATCTTTTTTATTGCTTTTTTATAAATATCTATTAATACCACTGGAAGGCTAAGATAAAAAAATATTTAATACATTACTGGGAATAGCCAAATTATAACGAGTATTTAGTCTGCTGAGAAAATTATATTACTTTCAATTACTCATGATTACCTGTTTCCAGCAAACTTTTTAATTAAATGATTACCCAAGTAAAAATATATATTTTTTTATTTCAAGCTATTCACATGATTCAATTAATTAAGGCTTTGGTTGAGATAAAAAGTCAGTGTCACGAGCGAGATTCGAACCCACGACTTTGGCTAAATTTGCTGCTGCTCTACCACTTGAGCTATCGTGACTTCACACTGACTTTTTTATCTCAACGAAAGCTTTAATTAATTGAAAATAATTTATTTGGTAAATCGGACCACGACACCTAATATATATAAAATTAATTAAAATAGAAGAAAAAAATGTGATGATAATTTATGCTGTTTGTCATTGATGGTATTGTTAATGTTTTAAAAACGCCAATATTATGCTACAAATGATTTATAAGCAAGCTTTTCTTTAATTTCTAACAAGGTTATTTTACAGTACTTAGGCTTCTATAACGTGAAGATCAACGTTTCCAGACTACTTATTTATCTAAAGTAATAAGTAAAAAAAATCCAATATAAACCTTTATACAAAACCTTTGCATAAAAAAACGTATTTTCAAGTTTGTTGTTTTATTGTGACATCTAAAGTAAAGGCCTTTAATTGAATATATGCTCATCACGGGGAAACGAAGCGAACCGGTTTGCCCCACAATTCATTTGATATATTATTCCCATTGATTTCTCAAACCGAGCACCATTTCTCCGGGGCAAAAAAGGGCCAGTTTATCCGGCCATAATCCAAGTGAAGCTCTCGAAAGAGACTAAGGCCCCGTCAGAAATTGAAACATCCCTCTTAATCCGGCTTTGTCAGGGCGTCCGTTTTGAATTAGTCAAAAATCCGATGGACCGGAGACAATCTCCTGACGTCAATCCTGCTTTATATCTGCGGCGTCCATTAACATGAAGATGAGCTTCATTTGGTAACCAAATTCAAAACGCACTCAATAAAAGCCCGTGAGGAGGCAATAGATTGAAGGCTGCGGGGTTGAAAAAAATTTGCTCCCATTCCTGCCAAGTATGACTGAGTTTAAAAAGAAATTGTTTTCCCCAATT